TTGGTGTAAAGGTGTGGGTGTCAGGTTTAAGGTAGTTCTGAAGGTAAAAGAAAGTCAATACTTGTAAGGTGTACCTAATAAAGTGGCTGGTGAGTTTCCACAAAGCTTTGAGTACTCCGAAGTTTTGAAGTTCACAGTAAGTGAATTAAGCGATGGCAAGACCTTGGTGCGAAGCTAGTGTTAAAGCAGCCCAAGAGCTTGTAAAATGTAAGCAATCCCACCTTCATTCTTAGCTCCGTCACATTTCCTGTTCATATTTGATCTGGCTTTCTGATAAACAAAAACAGCTCTTAAATTTAAAGACTGTCTGCAAACTGTCAAACAGCTTCTCTTGTGAAGATAACAGGGAATTCCAAATGAAATTGGAAACAAGGGCTGGTATTATAGGAATGTTACCCAATACGAGGATTCAAACCCACTTGAATGACAGCTCTCCCACTGCGTTCCCTCTCTCCACACTGAGCTGCTTGGTCCAGACATCACTTTCCCAAACAGCTAATCAAGTTCACAGGGAGTCCAGGAGAAAAGCCACAGGCCAGCACACTGACGAAAGAAAGACAAGCACAGCACACACTCCAATTTGAGCTGCAGGAATGACGACGATCGATCACTCAAACACATCCGTCTGTAAATAAAGCGAGAGACATGGATGAAAAGAGAAAACATAAATAAAAAGGCTTTACAGTGATGGAAAGAAGTTCTCTGTTGATTTTGAAAGTAATCAGCATAAGTAGCGTATTGTAATGGTAGGTTCATTCCAACAGTGAACGAGAAGAACAAAAGCTAGACGGGTAAAGTTTGTACATAATGCCGTTGCAGAGTGGTTGGTTCTTCTTGCACAGACTGGTAGCCTCCACAAGTGTGGTCTGTTGGAGGTTTCTATGGGGTTCTTGGTTTGAGTTACAGTTTTAGAAAGTTGTTAAGTCAATAGAAAACCTTCCTTTAGTGGAACCAATCTGAAAAGATATAGCAACTCGAGACAGACCAGTTTGACAGCTGTAGCTCAAACGCTCAATGGTGAGATGCATTTAGCATTTAACTAGCTGAGATTAAGAGCCTCTTTTAGCAATAGTATCTCTTTGTTACCTGAACAAAACCAATGATTGTTGAGCATCATGCTTTCGGGAAAGGATACAGAAAGCTGTGGCAGCCATGTATGCTCTCAGTTTCAACTGTGCAGAATTGGAAGACCAGAAGCACAGTTCTAGTTCAGTGGCAGAGCGAAAAAAATCTGATTGCTGCAGATAGCGTCACTGTGCATCTATTTAGCGCACTTTACATAAGGAGATGATGCAAGGACGAATGATGCAGAAAAAGCCTTTTCTCTGCATACGAGACAGACAGTGTCCCTTGAGGCACATTTGGTAAAGCCGGTTTCATTTTGGAATAAGGTGCTGTGGACTGGGGAAACTAAAATAGACTTTTTGGGCAAAACCATTCATGGCGGAAAACAGCTTTATGCTGTTTGAATTTGTTTGTGTTGGTCACGTAAACCTGAGTGGATGCATGGAGCCTTTTGCCAACATTTCAAAACACGTCAACACTGATTGTTTCTTGTTTCTCCACTCGATGTCAGAATTCTTTTTGAAGCGAGTCTATTGTGTCCAGTTCCTGGGCTTTTGTTCCAGATGAAAGAGATTCTGTTTGGTGAGGATGGTGTTCTCTGTGGAGGAACAGGTTTTCATACATGACTCGCTACAGCCCTGACATACAGACTGCTCTCGTTTGCTTTCACTCAGAAGGTTCAGACTTAATTTTGGTGAAGGCTTCGTTTCGTGGTCAAAGAGGCAGAGTTTGTTTTTTCTGGGTTGTTCTTCAGTAGTGTTGGCAGGTGGGAAGCGTGTTCTGTTTATGACAACTGTCTCATTAGAAAGAGCTGCTGTATTTTTCTGCTCTCAGTTGAAGCTAATTCTCCTGTGAGGTGTTCACTCTTACTTCAGGTTTGTTTTACCAGAGATGCAAACACGTGTTCTCTCAGGTAGAAGCTTTACTCTGTGGTGTGGATCCTCTGAGGGTACACCAGGCCTAGGGGTAGAGTTCTTGTGATTGTGGCATCGGATTCAAAGCACACAGACACACACACACACACACAGACACACATCCTTCATATACTGGCTGCATATCATTTCTCTGTCCCAGATCTTCAGATTCTGGCAGGGCTAGTGCTGAGGCAGCAAGAGCACAGTCTCGGAGAGCAAGGGCCGAGTCCTCTCAGAAGAGTTTGGATCAGTGTCTCTTAGAGGTGCAGCGTGCAGGCAGAATGTTCAGAGCTCCTCCAGCTCCTCGAATCTCTTCCAGGAATACTTGTCCAGAATTTTTGAGATATTCCTGCTCCCGTTCCTTTGCTCCTCTTCGAGCCCGGTTCAAAGTCTTGCATGTCTTTATCCGCACAGAGAGCTTGGAATAGTTCACAGGAAGAGTGTCGGAATATGTGGCAAGTCTACTGTGGTATTCGAGGAAGTTATCAGACAAGTTTGCTGTATCGAAAAGTATGTTTTTGTCAGCACTCTAATTTTTACAGTGTTGTTGGCTAATGAAGTATTAAGGCATGGGGAAGCGTTGCGCTGAGATTTATCAGAAGCGAGCTTCTTACGGAATCAGATAAAGCTCTGATAATGAGGAAGGAGAACAAACAGGACCTGCTGCACACTTGAGATTGCTGGCTGCATATAAAACAGAAAAGGCGCCTCTTAATTTTTCAGAGGTCCTGATGAAGTGAATTTTTGACTGATGTTTCCTGAAAATGGCAACACATGTCTTCTATTTACACCCCGGCTCCCTGCACCAGCACCCCCTCTTCCCCTAACGCCGCTCTGACTCGACTCGCAGATGTGTCGCTTGATGTTCCTGTCAAATGGCACCGAACCACTTAATAAAATATCACTCCCCCTCCATCAGCCTGCTTTAATTGAGTCCCTTGTCAGTTTTATCAAACTGTGTGTTATCGTCACTTTTTTCTTCTTTCTCCGTTTCTTCTTTTTCTTTATCAGACTCCCTTTCCTTCTCTCTCTCTCTCTCTTACGGAATAGACTAGCAGACAGATCCTTAGTAACTTTGTTTAACGGAGTGAGTGGAGTGATCCTCAAAGGCAGGCTTGTCATTGGATCCATAATTCAGACCCGTGATTTTCATTTCCCTCTGTTCTTTCAAAGGAATGCTGGCTTTTTGGAGGTTGGCTGTTCATTAGCAGGCGAACAGCGTGGTGGATTAGTAGAGGTGTTGTGCCAGGACGTTAAGCTATACATGGCCGACGTGGAGAAGTGCCAGAATGAAAGTGACGACATCAGAACGAGAAAGAGCTGCTTGCTCTGTCAGGCGTGCACACAAAACAGATGTGCACGGATGTTGTTTACAAATGGAGAAGGGAATGTGAATTTGCCTGGGTTCCAATGCGGTGCTACACGATGCTCAATGATACACTGCATGAATGACTAATGTGTCACAGGAAGTAGAAAACAGTTTCGTACTCCGATTGCAGCCTATCCTGACTTCGCCGGTCCAGGTGTTGGAGTACGAGTTGTGCTAGTGCACTGGTGTGAGTGGAAACTTCAAACACAGCCTGTCGCCAGCTCCCCAGTGAGGCCTGACTATGATTGGTTGTGCAGGCGATGGTTCTTATGCCTGTGCCTCGTCCCCATGGAGAAAGTCAAGTCCCGCCTTTTCCATTGAAGTCACAGGAAACTCCACTCGCAGCAGTGGGATGTTTTGATGTTAGTCATATTTCTTCCCTTTTTTCTTCTCTTGTTTTCTTTTCTCTCTGACTCTCTCTATCTTTCTCTCGCACTCTGAAAAGACGAGGGTCTAGCGGTTACAGGATTCTGCCGCACCACTGTACATTTCAACATTGCATTTGATCTTTAATTTATCACAGTTCCAGCAGTTTGTTTGACAGGTGCAGGAGCTTTCATCTTGAAGCTTCGCGGCTAGTGCGCTCTCCTCTCACTCTCTCTTTGTGTTTGCGTCTTTGCGACCTCTCTGGGATCTATTGATTCTTCTTTTTTCACGATTACTCTGTTGTACATTGAATAATATGGGGTTAGATGGCCAGTTGTTTGGCCTTCTATATGTTGTTTTACAACGATGGGGATGGGGATTAGAATGAGCAGTGACAGCTTTAGGGTCTAACACTGTTCTTGTGGGGTTCAGGGAAAAGAAATAGGATCTCTTTCATGCAAAATGAGTCTCCTTAAACTATGATCACTTGTCACTTAAAAATATATATATACATACAGTATTTATGTCAATAATTATGGAAAAGGGTTTATACCATAATAATTATGTGTTGTGTTTGTCTAAGTGCGTCTTGATTTTTTGTATAAATGTCAGATATTTTTGTGATGTAATATTAATTATTTTATTTATACTTTATACATAAATATGAACTTAAGCCAAACACCTACATGCTACTTATACAGAATATTATCTACAATATTGCAATTCCTAAAGATATACTGGTGAAAGTAAATGAAAACAAACTGATGAATAATATAAAATGTATTTATTTACTTACAAATTACAAGGCCTTCTTAGAACCTTTACAAACAATAATAAATTGACAAATGTCCCTTTCATCATTTTACGGATGTATTAAGAAAACAAATGTTTCCAAATTGAACAATTTGTCCCACCCAGTCCTAATATGGCACCTGTGATATCGTATGTGACAGACCCTTATAGAACATCTAAGCATACACATCATTGGCTATGATCCTATGGGCCTAGGTGTGTACAGGTGAAAAGACCTTCTCAAGATGGCCGCTGAGTGACTCCAGGAGTCTGATTGCTAATTGCGTGCCAGCTCTGAACAACATGGTGATATTTTGCTTGTTTGCTTTGCTTGATAGTGTGATCGCACTTTGCTTTGTTTGTTGGACTGATTTTTGCCTGACATTTGGATTTGTAAGGTAGTATTTTCATATTGTTTGTTCCTTTTTTTGTTTTGCGTTAAGTAGACATTGTCAACTTATTAAAGTAACTTATTTTTAAAGGAACACAAATTCTTGCTTTCCCTGGGGTTTGAACCCAATACCTTTACGTTGCTAGCACAATGCTTTACACACTGAGCCAAAAGGAGTTCAGGGTTTTTATTTTCACATTTCCTGCAACTGAGTGTAACATAAAATTGGGTATGAAAATAAATATATGTGTTTATTCTATGTCTCAAAACACTTTGATGCAAATGCTAATTTGTTTATTCGAATATTTCTAAATAAGGGCTCTCCATTGACTTCTGGAAAAATCTGATTCCAAAATAAAAAAAAAAAAAACGGTACTGAAGTTTACAATCGCTTCTACACCCATCTGATTTATTTAAAGGATTCATTCAAACAAACACTAGACCATATCTCTGTTTCTGTCCTCTCCCTATTTTCTTGTTTCCCGTTCAAGTCTCACCAAACCACCGAGGCACCTCTTAAAACAGGAACTTCCACAGCTATTTCGGGATCAAAGCGTGGGGCTAACCTTCTGAAGCTAACTTGTGAGGAGTAAATTCAGAGGACGAGAGGGGGTGAAGGAGATCGAGAGAAGGCCGTTGTGTGCTTTGAGTCTATTTGGGGGCATTTGAGAATGTGGGCAAGGGATGCTTTAAAAGGAAGCAGCCTCTCTCCGGACTCCTGGAATCAAACCTTCCCCTGTTGCCTCAACCAGAATAGAAATGTGCATCAGATCATCAGATCTTGCTGCACCCACATCAAACAAACTTTATGAGTTGATTCGTTGTCCGAAGTGGGGAAATTGTGAGCATCACTAAATTATGAGACACAGACAAATGAGAAAGTGGAAAATTAATGAGAACATCTAGAAACTTTATCGCTCACACCTATAACAGTCACCTGCTATATCCATGAGATATAAACACCATATCACGTGTTAAACATTTACCTTAAACACAGTTACAACTTGCGTTAGACCTCACAGACCACACCCTAGCAACCAAACTGTTTAACCTAGCAACCAAATCTTAGAACTCTATCTTAGCTTTTTGTAAAGTGATTGAAACATGTTTTGCATAAATTAGTCAAAAAGGGAATGTTATATTATATAACTGACTCATTCCATAGCAACCAAACTGTTTACCTAGCAACCAGTTTGGCATATCTCTATCTCAGCTTAGTAAAATGCTAGAGACAAAGGGGTTTGTTTCTATAACTTGGAGTCAAATGGGGAACATTACAATATTTCACTGACCCTTCCATAGTAACCAGAAAGTTTATCTTAGCAACCAAATCTTTATCTTAGCTTAATAAAATGCTAAGAGACCTGGAGGAAATTGTATTATGTCACTGACCCCACCAGACTGTTTTCCATAGCAACCAGTTCGGTTACTCATTATCACTGGAAATCATAGTGACATTTGAAACTGTGAAAATACATATTTATTTGTTTCTATTAGTCAAAGCTTGCTGCTATTCGCTTTCAGTTTCATTTGTTTTAATTTTGTTCAAAAACATCACCATACATCTAATTAAAAATGTTGTTACACCTGTTTTACTTTTATTATATAGAACAAATCCTGGAACATTTGACTTTTGATTATAGTTGTTTTTTTTTGTTTGTTTGTTTTTGACAGATTTACAACAGCTTTCAAAAGAAACTACTACAAGTAAAACAAATAAAAAACAGTTATGCCTCAGACAAAGAATACACTGAAGCTATCTTCTACTTGGATCTATCGTGATCTGAGCGTGTGTACATAGTCATAAAGACAGATTTCTCAGAGTGACTGGTGTTGATTAAAAGTTGACATTTCAACACTTGGCAGCCACGATGAAACAGAGCCTCAGATCAAACGTGTCGAGTGATAATCGCCCACTGGCTCCTGTCTGCGAACACCTCAAAAACACATGAACGTTTAACTGAGCATGAGACTGATATGGCTCACCACAAAGTGTCGTCAACACAAAAATGCAGCTGTTCATTTCATCTGCTGCCAACTCCTTTAAGTTATTCATCTGGAAAAAAAATGCATTCATCATTATATTTTTAATCACAGAGACGAGATAGAGGAAAGCAATGCCTTCGGGAGGAAGGGGGGTGTACGCTATTCCCAGAACTGATCCGGCATTGTTGCCCCGCATCGGCAAACATTCTTCAAATTGACTTTGAATGAATTTATTTTTAATGTGATGTTGATGCTGCTTCTGCTTAAAGTGCACGGGGCGAAAAGTGTGGATGTGCAAGCGAAATTAAATATACACTGAAAAGTTGAGAAAAGTTTGATTTGATTAATTTTCATTATAGCATGTATACATGCTGTGGATTTGAATGGTGATATTTGTAATTAACTGATAAAAAAAAGTCTTCCCTCCTTTCACGTGCAAGAGGATTCTTTCTCTCTCTGTTTTTCTTGGATTCTTTGTTCTTTTCCTTTCTGCCGCTGTCAGTTTGGCTCATGCGAAACAGCTTCCACCTCACAACATCCTTCTCCAATCATAATTATTAATAAATTAATTATCAGCCCTTCCCTGTTCCAGACTAATTGAGTCCCATCGCAGGTCCTAAGTAGGACACACTGCTATCAGACAAATGGAACGATATCCGGGGGTTGTTCCTGAGGGTATGAGTCTTGGCTCCATCCAACAGAAACCATGCTGCTTTGTAGCTTTTCCACTGCTGTATGAGACGACTGAGATGTAAACATGTTTTATGTTGTAGTATGTGATGAGCTGTTTTGCACGGAGGGGGGTCTTGAAATTATTCTTCTACAGCATAAAGTTTAAATGATGTGTTGTTCTCTTTGACCTCTCATGTTCAATTTGTCAAAGAGAAAAGGTAACATTTAGTTTCAATCTATTACAAGATTTTTAGGAACATATACGTGAACTCAAGAACCTTTTAATTTAATTTCCAACCTTTTCATAAGGCTGAGATTTACTGATTTAACGCCATAAGATTAAAATAAGGTTAACAGTCTAACTGAGATCACAACATATTCATTTTCCAACCCGCTTATTCCCTTTCCAGGATCACAGGGGTCTGCCGGTGCACCCTGGCCAGATCACCAGTCCATCGCAGGGAAACATTCACTCACACAAGCACAGGTAGAACATGCAAACTCCTTCCAGGAAGTTCACCGGCCTCGAACCGACAAACTTCTAACTGGAAGGCCACAGTGCTTCCCATTGAGCCACCGTGCTGCCCACAACATTTTAATTGGGGGGGGGGGGTGTAGAGAGGTAGCATGTAACTCATGTCACTGCTAAAGCCAGATATATCAAATCCAGATATATCAATCTAGAGCACCTGCTGCCCTTTTTCATCACCCCAGTTCCAAGACTTTCTTGCAAACTCAAGTTATTTGTTCTTCTTCCTGTGTTGGAGAAATTACTTTTTGGCAGCTAAACTCTTTTATTAAGACCGCTTTAAGCCAGACAGTAGATACACAGTCTGTGTTCCGCTAGTTTCTGCCAGTTCCTGACATCTTCAATGTGCTGCAAAATGTTTATTGCGCTGACCACTGATTGAACATCACATCTTGAAAACCCAAGACTGCTCAGAAATCTGGGCCTTAAATCTAGACCTTGGAGATGCCGACGATCAAGCCTTTGTCTCGTTGCTCTGCTCAATTTTTCTATGACAAGAAACTGTCTTTCCTCTCATTTCTAAAAGATTTTCTCATCCAGTTTTAACTCTCCTACACAACTGGTTTTGCTGACACCAAAAATCTATTTGTTGTTTCATATATTTGCTTACACTGCATTTAAAAAAATAAAATAAAAAATCCGGTGAGAAACATCCACTGATGCTTGAACTAAAGTAAAACCGTTTTGGATGATGTCGTGACCAGTGTGCCCTTACTGAACACGAGTGACAGCTACATTTGTCATCTGCATGATCAGCTTTACAAAAATGCGACATATTTTACATTTTTATTTCATCTCTCTCATGTAAACATACCCCTGTGGATGGAGACAGAATTAGTTTAAATGAAATAACAATCAAAAGGCCAGAAGATGTGATTTGAGCAAGAAAGAATGTGGAGGAGGGAAGCTCATATCCCGATGCAATCACATTAAATTTTAAATAATGTTATGCAGATACGAAATGACGCGAGGTGATCTCTTTGGGATGCTGAAAGAAAACCTGGCAATTATATCTCCAATATTCTGGAAAATAATGTTTATTTAGGTAGGATTTGTGCATAAGACTAGCCGGGAAAATTCATTTAAAGTCAAATGTCGAGATGGTTTGTGGATTTAATGAAACTCTTTTGGCAAAGGTGTCAATAATGTCAAATGTTTATAACAATCAATCCATTCATAACTCCAGTTCACAAAAGGGTTTATTATAATTTATTTATTTTATTTTCGCTAATTCAAATCTCTTAATTGTATAAGAAATCTCCAACACTACAAACTCGACAGTCATTCAATTTCCTTGCTTCATTGGCCAGAAAAGAGAGTATCTCCGGAGCTTTTTCCCTTCAATTTCACAGAGGGGAAAGGCCCAAATATTGAGTGAAATGGAGCCAACTTTCATATTTAGTAAGAGAAGACGCCATCCATTATTTATCAATCCGAAAGCAGTTAATCTTAAAGATACCAGGCAGTGTGTGGAGGTGGGGTCTGGAAGGGATGAGGAGAGCCTCGGTCTCAGGTCAAATGCAATATTGATGTCTTTAATTGAGGTTTTAAGCACAACGTGTTCAATGTTTCTCTCAGAGCTTTTTCAGCATGGCACTGGCCTTGTCTTGTGTGGCTTGGGGATTTTGTGTAAATTACATGTTTTACATTGTTAAGTGTGTCCAACAATGTGTTTTGGGCAGAATAAAAGTTCAGCTTCATCCGTTTTCTTTACCAGTGTTTCACACAGAGTGCAGGAAGATTGACGCCTGTGTAGCACCTTCACCGTCGTTCTCTTTGCTGCTCTCTGCTACGAGACCCACCGTTTTTTTTTTCTTATTTTTTTTTATGATTCTTATGAGGCTCACTGGCAAAGGACTGCATGTAACTGTGTCTTTAGAACTGCAATTATTTAAAGAAAAGTTTTCACAGCATCAAACAGAGGCATTTGGTTGCTCCAGCTGAAGGTGTGTGTTTTCCACTCTGGAATGTAAGCTGCTGATGGAAGCC